TCTGATGGAATATAACGTAAGAAGTGATGCATGCGTACAAGTTAGACTAACAACTAGTCTCTGAAATGAACATATTTTACTGAAAAAAAAGTTCATAGTAAAGAATATAATGAAAAGGAGCCCTGAGTCTTTCTTCATTTTCAGAAGCTGAGGAAATCTAGACTTGCCACATTTTCTAGACTTGCGTGGGCTTTCTTGGATATATTTGCTTCAGGGTGTATACGACAGACTAGCTTACAAGTGTTAACAAATAAGATGTACTACTTAATGAACATATTATTTATGGTACCAAGAGCTTATTGAAAGTGGTTAGAATCAGCTATGAATTTATAGACATAAGCAACATTCTACCCATTTTTAACTTTCATAGCAATGATTTTGATATATCAAATTTGCTTGGTTCCTATTCATAACATTTTAATACACATTCCCATCTCCGTGAGTCATGATGTTAAATAAAGACGCCCCTTAACTCTTTACCGGCTGGTATAGAACCATAGTGTAGGCTATCATTGTATACAATAGGGTTAAAGGTTCAAAGGACAGCTCCTGGAATTTATGGAATGTGAATCCTGAACACTCCTTTGGTATGTAGGATTACTCCTTAAAAAAATGCTTTTGATCTCCCCTGGAATGCTATTGATCTCCTTAGGAATGCTTTTGTTCTCCTTAGGAATGCTTTGATGTCCGAAACTGATTACTTCTATACTACTTATATATTAAATTGACACCATCACTGTTTAGTTATTAGTCACGTGTTCGGAGATTACAAAGTAATGTAACTCTGTGTTTGATAAGACTAACATTTGGGCAATAAAACATTACCATAACATCAATAACAACCACAAGGAACATTTCATCCTAGTAACGGATATTTCTGTCTCTTCGACTGGATTAAATTGAGATACAGTCCTATTATTTTCAGAATTGTAGTAAGTCTCATGCTATATAATTACAGGACCATTATTTGAAATCTATACCCCCAAAAGATTGAATGATTTGAATTTGAGAATAGTTTACTTTTCTGCCCTTTAAAAATTAAGATTTATAAAGATAATGTCGATTTTTAGTTTTTTAGTTTAATAAGGGCCATGGCTTCTTTCTACTGCCAGTAGGTGAGTGTTTTTATCGTCTCAGGTGGTTATCGCTTGTTATAACGAACATTTCAGTGTTAGGATTCTCTGAGAGTGTACCTATTTTGTTAGCGTGTTATATTTTTAAATACTTTCAATTCTTGTTGAATTTCACTCAAATACAACTGGATTTATTTTTCAATACTTTTGTGAGTTTTTGGACCCCGGTATTGAGAGAGAAGCGCTTTAACCACTGCGCTAATCTACCAAACCCACGGGTGCACAACAATTTACACTTATATTTAAAATGTAACGTTATAAGTCTATAGATCTGGATATATGTAGAGATGAATTTGTTTTGCGTGTAGAATCGACCTGGATTCTGATGTAATACATGGATCAAGTGTCGAACAAAGGGGACCGGTCAGGCCTTTGAAAAATACATTTACACGGAGTTTAAGTTCATTGATATCCAACTACTTTGTACGGGACACTTTGCATGTTACGCCAAATGGGTTTATAGATAATCGATACTGGTTATTCTCTGGCTTTGGCATATAACAGTTCGATTGATAATTGTGTTATATGAGGAGCTGAAGAATGATGATCACTTGCTTGACAACGACATTGGAATCTACGTCGAAGCGTCTCCATTCACAGAATAAAAGAGTTGTATATCCATAAAAATTGGCACCAGTTTTCATCAACTAAACTTCTAAATTGCCCATCAAAGAAGTAATACTAGGAGTTGTAAGAATGAACGTTTACGGTTTCCGAGAGCAAATATAGAGCTCTCACTTCTTTCTCTTGAAAATCTTTAATCCTTAAACAGTAAGGTCAGGGGCAGAGTACCAATAGTGACGAGGGAGTGTGATGCAAGTCTCTAACCATCCGAGTACGGAACTTATCGACCAATTCCAAAAGACTGGAAGACCTGAAGTACCACGTGTCCCAACTACTTTAAAATGGAATTCCTTTCTGCCTGTGACAAAACTGTTGTAACTACCAGTAAGGGAGTTCGGATTTCAAAGCCCCCGGATGATACCACGGTGGGACAAGCCTGGTTGCTGTCTCGTCCCATGTTAGCTGCCTTAGATACAGCCACCAACTACGACGCGGAATAAAATAGTTCTTCAAAATGATCTGTTGTATGCTCAGCGTGCTGTTGGAACACCTTTTGTTGTTGAGTTACAACAAATAGATTCAAATAATATCATCATTAGATTAAACTGTTTCTTATGAACTACTTCATTTCGTCAGTCACGGCGAGAGTACGTCGTACTATATCCAATACAGGCAGTAAACATGGTGGCCATGACAGTCTTTACGGGAGAGACTTCTGAAGTTGTTAATAAACCTGTGGCGATTACAAGTGTTAGTCATCGTTGGTCAATTGGCATCATGGTGGATTTATTGATGTTGACTGTCACATCACGGCAATAATTATCTGAAACAAAGCTCCCGCATGTATTCGTGGTAGTGAATTCCAAGGGTTTCCCCAGGAATGTGGAAGTAGTCCATGATGTGGTCTAGTGGATGACGTGAAAATGTGTTCATACGCTTAGGAACGTCAGTTTCTCGGTCATGCGACCAGCTTAAAATTCTCGTCCTAAAAAATGATAAATGGTATAGTGTGAACTTCAAATTAAATAATCATAATTATTGTGTATTCATACGCAGTTTATTATCCTTATACATACACATGTCCTTAGTTAATTAGTTGATAAATATTTCAAATCATCGTTAGTGATAAATAGTGATAATTGGTTGTTCAGTGTCGCAATTTGCTGCTTTGTCACCAAGACACAAGGCTGACGTTAAAGTGTTACCACGTTAAAATAGTGAATCGACTTTCTTCCACATGGGTACAACGTGTGAAGTCAATTTCTGGTGTCCCCCGCCGTGATATTGCTGGAATATTGCTAAAAGCGACGTAAAAGTAAGTCATCGCTGTACCGGAGTGTGCCGGCGCGAAACACCTCCAACTTCCGGGACGTACTTAGCAACAATGGCGTCTGTTGATACGTTGCTTGGTGACCGAGAGATAGAGGTCATGAAAGTTACAGAGCTGAAAGCGTACCTCCGCGATCATTGCCAATATGTTACTGGTAAGAAGTTTGAGCTTGTTGAGAGGGCGAAAGGGGTAAGCAGACTTTGTTATCCAACAAATGCAAGCGCGACAAAGCTTGCAAATCTACCGACTCGATCACTTCATGACAAGTTGATAACAACCCTCGGCGAGAGTATTCCTGATCCGCAGAATCTCACAGTCTGGATACGGGACACTAGTGCCATTCCTGATTTTTCAGAGACTGAAGTCTATAACTACTTTGTTCTCACCATGAACGTGAAGCCACATCATAAGTCTTTCGTATATTTTGAAGACAGACATGTTCATTCACTTGAGTTTAGCCCCGTCTCAGACGTATGTAGCCATGCTATCGTGCAATGCAAAGTCATACCATCACTGCCTACGAGCAACAAGAAAGAATGCCCAGACCACATTGCATGGATTTGTTTGTCAAAGGTTACAGGCAAGATTCACTCTGCAGACTGCACTTGTGCAGCTGGGTAAGTGGTCCTTCTTTGTCTTTTTCTTATTTACCTTATATTTCTGCTCCCTCCATAAAGAGATTTCTTCAGCCACACCCCACCAGGAGATATAAATTTCAAGGCAAGCACACCTTAACAGTGCCCAGGATATGTGTAACATATAATGAGTACTCATAAGCATGAGAATTCATTTCTTAGTAAATAGTATGAAGAAAAGATTTCAAATAATCATGATGTGAACAAAATTTGAGATTTGTTCCTAATTTATTTTTTATTTATATATACATATTTCAGGGCTGCTGAGGCTTGCAATCACATTGCAGCACTGTGCCACTGTTTAGTTGATGTGACAACAAGGAGGAAAGATGGTACTACATCATGCACATCCCAACCATGCAAGTGGAATAACCCACGCAAGAGGAAACTTAGTCCAAAAAGATCACAAGATGTTAATTTTAGAAAGTCATCTTCTGTTCTACATGAAAGGGAAGCAGTGAAGAGAAGTGTGATAAGATTGGTAATGAAAAAGCAGCTTACATTAAACCCATTGTCAACTGTCAGAGATTAAAACAGAAACTTGAAAGTAAGAATTCCAATGCTGCCTGGTTAAAGTTTTATGCAGACACTTCTACGCCATCAAACATGAAACCCTCTCTGCCTCCCCTTCATAACATTTCCTTTTCATATTGTGACCATGTAGATCTTCATTCCACTGATTGTCAGCAAAAAATGCAGGTATTATTTGATTGTATGCATGTGTCGGAGGAAGATGCCCACTGTATCGAGACATTAACAAGAGGTCAGCATAACAACGACTTATGGTTAGCTGCCAGAAGTGAAAGACTTACTTCCTCTAAATTTGGAGATGTTGTGTTGATGCGCAGTGACACAAAGCCAGATAATCATCTTAAAGATATTTGTGGCTACAGAGACATTTCTGATGTTACTTTTTGTAAATGGGGAACCAGTCATGAACCTGCAGCACGCAAGGTCTATCAAACAGCAAACAAGAATTGTGTCTGTGTGGAACAATGTGGTCTTATTGTTTATCCAAAGTATCCACACCTTGGTGCTAGCCCTGATGGTTTGATACAGACTGATGATGGACATACTGGTGGTGTTCTTGAAATAAAGTGTCCTGCACGCTGTGACTGGAAATGGATGGAGCCCAAGCAGTGTGCCAAGGATCCTAGATTCTACTGTTCTCTAGATGAGAATGACCGTGTTCGTCTTAAAAGGTCACACAGATATTATTACCAAATTCACGGTCAAATGTCTATTACTGAAAGACTGTGGTGTGATTTCATGATTTGGACTTTGAATGGGTGGACTGTTGAAAGAATTAGTATAAGGGCGTATCCCATGCATCGATCGCCTGTGCACCTGCACTATTGTGATCACTCGACAGGAAGGTATGTGTTGTTTGTCCTAGTAATAAATTTTCACATCAATAAACTGTATAATGTTGATCTCAGCGAAACAATTTAATATGAATCTCCTATGATTTCTTTGGTTTTCGTAATGAAAGCTTGTTGGGCTTGTTGTATCCCTTGTTCTATGTACTTTTTTTTCTCGTCTTCACTGATGGCAGTGCATTTACGAGACTTGGACCGAATCTCGTTTCATTTTGTGATATTTTGCGAGTTCAGAGAGGACCAAACTCCTCCTCGGAGACTTCACTGTCAGTGAGTGCCGTGGAAATACGCTCACTTACCGTGTTTCAGCGCTTTACGATGCAATCTGCGGGATGCAAACTTAACCCAAATTAACACTGCAGGCCGCTTTTAAGCGGCCACAACGTTATGAGTCCCCAGACACCGGACGCCGATTAATCGGCCAGGCAGTAGTCACCTCAAAATGAGACATAATTTTAGGAACCTACCTGACTTATGATTCATATATTAAATCTATCACATTTCACAATGTCTGAAAACACTTTATTAAATTAAATTTATCATATGGGTCATTTTCAAAATTGGTAGGGTTTCTGTCCGTTCCAAATAAAGAAAAACCTCTGTTAACTTAAAAGGATTCTTTTGTGCTAGAAAACATATTTAGATGTTTAGTAGTCAGTAAATGTGGTATATCATTAGTCTTGTCATTTTGAAATTTATATTTAGCAACATTTTAGGGTCAAAATTGGCCGATTTGCTCTGTCCGGAGGTGACGGTCCTAATATCAATGTTCACAAATAATGTAAATATAAATGCAAATAAACAAACTAATTCATATGATGCCAATTAGGATTGATCAAACATACTCAAACTGCTTTTAATTTTGTTTTAACTTAAAAAAGTTTTTTTCTACAAATTGTAACATGCTTGTCCAGTGTTTTTGTGTCCTGACCGTTACCAGTGTATGAAACTCCTGCAATAATTTCCACCTGGAGCTGGATTGTAATACTACTTCCTGTGTCTGCTTGAGCTAGCCCCTGTGCATGTGACAGCAGATGAAATAATGAAATTCAACACATTTTGCAGAAAATTGACACCATCAAATAAGTATAAATGTTATGTATCAACCTTAATTGTCCAGACCGTTACCAATGTATTTTGTGTTAAATATATCTCTTTGTTTTCTTAAATTTCAATTGATATGTTGCCCAGAAATGGACAAGGTGGAAGGCATGTCCTTTGAAATCTTTTAGGGATCATTCATTTTTTTATTTTAGATTTACTTACAAATTGTCTTGACCGTTACTGTCCAAACCGTTACCATTCTGCAAAGTAACGGTTTGGACAGTCCTTGTAACGGTTTGGACAAAATGATTTGTATTTCAAAAAGTTGTTCATTAATATTTGAAATATAACAAATTTATAATTACTTTTAGGGTTAAGATAAGTTTAAGCATGGAATTTTACTGTTCAAAGGAGTTTTGATGTAGTAGCATTAAAAACACAGTCTCTAGTAACGGTTTGGACAAATAATAGTAACGGTCTGGACATATCTTTAATAAATTTCTATTTTAAAGAATATGTTCCATGGTGTGATAATAATTTTCTGTTTACTTATCTATCTGCTTTAAACGAATTTAATACGTTAAGTTTCTATTTTCTATAAGATCTATAGTCTTTATAAATTAAAGGTAAAGGTTAGGACATCTATGGTACCAGTTTGGACAAAATGTAGTAACGGTAAACAACTTTCAGTATTCCAACCTTTAAAGATTTTTTGGGTGTAAACTGTTTTAACTTTAACTGTGAGATATGTAAGGCTACCATTTACTTTGAATATTTGCTAGGTGCTAATATGTTGGCCAAACCTTTGTATCTGATAAATATGTGTTACCATCTCACGATTAACAAAAACTAACGGTATCCGAGTGAATGAAAGAAGTATATTTCGTGGAGACTAACATTGCACCATAATATCAACAGCAAAATGATATCTATGCAGTGGCCTGTGTAGCATGTGTACAGTTTCATAGTTGTTGCAGTATCTTTCAGAATTGAATCTTTTGCAACGTTTTAGAGGGATAACATTTGTTTGTTACACTGATGTCCTGGCCATTAGCAATAATGTCACAACCGTTACTATTCATTCAATTTTCGTTCCCCAATTGCACTCTTCTTTAGATTATAAGTGATTTTCAACCTAGACAGGTGTGTTTTTCTATTCTTTAGAAGCTACAGTTTGTTCTTATTCAAAAGCCTAAATTCATTCACAAGTTTCATATTGATATAACAAATGTCCAAACCGTTACCACAGCATGGAAGAAAATATGTCACATTTGTTACAAGTTACAATTTCTAATACACATGTCACTGTCTGTCCAAAATAGGGTTAGCAATTGAAGTAAATGATATCATTTTTTCCTTTCATGTTACCTGTTTCTATGTTGAATTAAACTGTTTAATGCTTATGTCCAGCCGTTACCATTCCTGTCCAAACCGTTACCACTATTGTCCTAACCGTTACTGGTGTTAATTGACTGCTGTAATTAATTCGTGATAATACATGAAACACTCCTCTTTATGCTGGTGTCATCAAAAGATGTCCTGGGCTTAGTAGCTGATGTTTATTTTAGACAATTTCACCTGTTGAAAACTATATGCATAATAATGCTTTAGAAAAATGCAATTATTTTGTGGTAAATAAATGAAAGATACAAAATAACACTTTCAAGATTCATGATAATAGTTTTTACCTTCAAGTTTGATTAAGTCGGTGTAAAAGCTGTGTATGCCATCTTTAAAAGATTTTTATGAATTATATTTCAAAATCCTTATTCTGATTAAGAAATGGTAACGGTCAGGACTTTCCCTCACCCTATTAATAACTTATGTATCAATTAAAAGGCCAATTAATAAATTTGAGCCTGCATGTTTGTGTAATTGAATAATTAAGTATTTGAGATTTCATTTGAATTAAAACTAAATTAATTTTCAGGAGTTTGATTTTACTGTAATAAAGAATTTAAAATCCTACCTATTTTGAAAATGACCCATATATTATCAGCAGAATTAAAAATATAAACTACTTTTCGCAATGTTATTGAAAACAACGATTCTCGGACACATGCTTCGGCAGCGGGTCCAAAATAACATTGTCAAAGAGCAAAGTAACGATGTTTCGAGGAATTCATTAAATAAATTGAATAAACTAATGAATAAAATCAACAAAAACATTCATAAAAGTTGTCAAACGTACATATAAAATTATTATTTCCATCTTTTTGTGCGATCATGTAATGCAAGTCAAGTCACTGACAAGTGACATCTCGGCACTCGCCGCCTCAATCTTCACGCTCGGACACGATGTTTAATGCGAAAATATATACATGAAGCATTTTTGTCACAGGTCATAACCTAGCACGATACGTCCAATAAGTTCAATAAGTTACGTATAGGTAGCGATTTCTTGCTTAATATGTTCAAAATAGCATTATTTCACAGGCGATCGATCGCCTGTGCTTGTTCCTATAGTAGTATAAGGGGCGTATCCCATGCATCGATCGCCTGTGGTCTAAATCGAAAGGTTTTCGTTTACGGGGACGGTATCCATTGCCGTAATATGATTGGCTGTCTTAGGTCACGTGTCTGATTTTGACCAGTCACGACCCTTATAGCAGACTGTGGCGAAAAAGCGTCATTAGAAACCAATTTTTATCCAATAAAATTGCTTCTTACAACTGTGAAAATACTCTCGGCAAGGGTTCAGTGATGTTGTTGATGTTCAGAGCTTTCGAACGATACCCGACATCAAACGATTCGCCTCCCATGTTATTCATACGACGCTTCGAAAACGGAGGTATTTTCCGTTGTTATGTCATGTTACGAGCGGAAAACCACAGATATCTGGAAATAGGGACCATACATATCATTTAAGAAATCTTTTTATAATAATTTTCTGATGACGTAAAAAAATATAAAAGAAAAAGGCATGGGAATGTTATGACATGGAAAACAATCGCCATAGTTTTTGCTTCTTTCGTTGTTTATCGGGACGTTATAAATGTAAGCTTGCATTTTCATTCAAAAATCATTTTATTTAAGTTGTAGTTGTATTATTTGAATAACATTATAAAAATAAACTTCATATTTATCAACAGTAGGATTAGATCTTTTAAATGGTGTATGGGATGTAGAAGCAATAACGTTTTACAAGCTTATAATTTCCTTCATAAACATAGGCTTCATCTATGACCTCAGAGTCTCTGGGAACTCGGTGTCATGGCAGTAAATGCCTCTGGTTGACTGGTGTTGAAAGAGTTAAACACCAACCCCACCAACCCTGACACCCCAGCTGTTTTTTCAATGCCTAGCACTATAGGTGCGGCTACGATGGTGGTTAACAACCCGACACCTACCGCCCCTAATCCCATGCTGGTTGCCATAAGGGTGGTATCAGCCCCATACACGAAATTGAAAGCGAAAGCTCTATGGTATTTCTTACATATTGCTGTCCGTTTGTAACGATCTTGTTCTAGTTGGCGTTTTATGTCACGTAACTGTCTCAAACGAAACCCGTCTACGGTTTCCAGTGTCTTCGCTAGTTCTTCTACGACCATGGGTACAGCCCCATCCTGTGTACATATATATATATTATAAGAGATTTTTTAATTGTGTTTTATTTAATGGTTGCTCAGTGTATTTGAGACTTATAAGGTTTAGATCCTCGTACAGGAAAATATGGGAAAGGCTAATAGGTAAATCTTGGTCTATACGAAACCTATGGGGGATTATTATTAAGGGTGGTATAAATCTCAGTAAGGTTCCGATCCCAGTTGTATGACGATACTAGCAGTGTAAACGAGAAAGACTTCTGTGATCAGTGTGGAGCCTGGTTTCATAGTCATAAGATCTGATAGGTGATCGGGTAAGTCGAACCTTAAATTTGAATCCCCGTTTGAAACTAACATGTTGCACGTGTGATGTGGTACTTGGTCAACCATTATATTATTAAAATTCGGAATGAAAGACGCGAGAAAGACGCCGTTGTTCCTAATTTCGGAGACATACCAAATTTTGTTTAAAGAGATGTAAGGTGCGGTGAGGGTCACGTTGATCAACCATTCAGGCTCTTTAAAGTCTGCCAGCGGCACCCGCTCGTACACGTTGTCTTTCAAATGTAGGATGTACAAGGTGTCTTTCTCACCAGGCAGATCGAACCCCTCCGTGTCTCCTAGATCACCAAGCGTGACGTTGGGATGATGATTCATCGTCTACATGTATATAAAATGTTATAAAATAGTTTCCAATTGTTTTTCTGATAATTTCTCAGGTGTGCACTGCAACCCCATGAGATGTACGTTGTCGGGTAGGAAAATTTTGGTGAGCGATATCGTGTCTTCCACGGTCACGGTGACTCCCTGCAGACAGGTGTGGGAATCGACGTTCACCCGCACGTAAACAGAACAAACGTGATATTGATGTTGTTTGGTCCACCGGAGTTTGATTCCTTTCACGATTTCGACTGGTGATGATGGTTCACCGAGGTAGACTTGGATGACCAGCGTGGAATTCGCCGGTAGACTTTCCAGGATGTTGACAACGCCCTCGAATTCAGACACGCAACCCCACGTTTTGCTCCCCGGGTTTACTCGATAGCATGTGGGCTGCCATACCTGAGACTGCGCTAATGATTACACTGCTCCTATGCGTCAGGACGTAAGCCATGAGCAGGGTTCCGTTTTTCACGACTTTGTTTAGGTAGTGGTCTTTGTTTTCAGTGAACACGTAGGGAGAGCCGAGCGTGATGTTGAGAAACCAGTCGACTCGAGATTGTGTTAAAATCAATTTGTTGTCGTCGGTGAAGACGAGGGCATACTGCTTGTTTCGAATGACGACCGTGGTTTCGACGTCGTTTAAGTCGTACAGCTTGCCGCCGAACGCTGGGTATATCATCTATTCATCCTCGTCATTGCGGACTAGGTCGTGCCGAGTGTTACTCACAGCTCTTGATGTATAAACGATATCGTCTAAGTTACTGCCAGATCTCCCGGCGGCGGGGACTTCGACGCGTTTGTAAATATTGTTTTTCAGTTGCAAGGCATACAGTTTACCGTCTATTCCTGGTTTGTCGAATCCGCGCGTGTCCCCGAGGTCGGAGACTGCTATATTAAAGCATTTTTTCAATCGCATTCCGGGACCTTGGGCGCTAGTCATTATTGTATGTGCAGCATCACACTGAGGTATCCTATATTCACAGGATTATGTTTTATATCTAAAACAGATACTTTTAATTCCTAGATGGTGCCTCGGGTTAATTTCTTGTACTGCCGTGACGAAAACGATTCGGTTCTGCCATCGTTATACTTTTCCGTTTTCACCGGTACGGCTCTCAACAGCGTGGAAGGGCGTTCACCTTGAACGTTGTTGCTTGTGCTCAGCTGATCGAGATGAATGCACAGTTCAACTTACGTGAACAAAGATCGGGTAATTTCGTGTCGGTCACGGTGGTTTTGGTGGAATGTCGTAAACCCGAAAGCGCTTTAGTCAATGGCTGAGTCTCAAAGTGTTTTCTCCGTTGTTGACTAACACGACCATGCTGTTCGAGTCGCTCATTTTGAGTTCGGCCCCACAGGTTTGAAGATTTCTTCATTGAGAGACACACTGTAGTAGCCGTCCGCTATTTGGCTTATTGCGGACATTATTGCGACGAACAGCCTGTTGTTTTGCTGTTGATGTTGGTCCGACGCTGGTAGTAGGTGATATCGCAGAGTGCGCGACTTCGAAAGTTGGTCGGACGTGTTATCGATCGCAGCAGTTGAACGCCCCAACGCCATTATTCCCGGAAGCCGCCACGTACATATTGGATATATATATTATATATTATATAACAATTCAACATGTACAAACCGGGAGTGTTTTATTCTAAAAGCGATACTTCCGATTTCACACACATGAAGATCGTGGTTGCAGATGGGTTGCATTTCAAAGCATCATTTATCTATGTGTTTAAAAATTACGGGTTTTCGGTGACGAACGTTAAGACGGTACATGCTTGGTTTAACAACCCGATGCAGTTCTGGCAGAATCAATTCAATTTTGCCGAGTGGTGCACAACGACAGGGTGAGGTGTGATGTTGAGCGACACTCGACGTGGCCCGCTGAGTCAGTCTGTGTTTATGTTTCACGTGTACTACCAGATCAGACGTATCCTCAAAGAAATCAGTGCTCCGCTTCCACAGGACAAAGCACTGGATGCGGTAAACAATCCGTACGATCGACGGGCATACGAAAGAATTTGCAACGAATTCGAAATCGATCCGAACATGGATTGGCGTTTGCCAGGCGTGAATCACGCTTTGGGTATTCCTATCGTTCACAATATGCCCCTCGTAGAAGCCAGCAAGACCTTGAATGAATGGGGTGGTAAAACGTATGCAGGTGCTTACGTCACAAGTAACGAGTGGAGAGATGATCTCATGATTTTCGATGACAGCAAGGATTATTGTGTTTGGAGGTTTGAGCAGGGGTTTGCGGACGATTGGAAAATGTTCATGCTGGATTCGAGAGGGTTCACTCGTGCCGGCACCGAACACTTGAACGACTCGATTCGAACGTATGTTTGGGCACTGCTGGGAGCGCAGACACAAACGCATTCCGACATCGTGGGTAAAGGGACGGCTTACGACGCGCAGAAACAGTTCGTGTTGAGGATGCTATCAATGCTCCAGTTGATCTACTGAGTGCTATCCAACGCTACTAAAACGTGTTGAATATGCCCGGTCGAAAGCCGACTACGTGTTCGGAGTGGGACTGTACATGGCCCCGAAAGCAACATGCAACTGAGAATCCATAAAGTGGTGCGCTACAACAACGAAATAGTCATCGCCACCACCGATCAAAATTTGGCTTATAACCCGGTATCAACGTCTTAAACGTCACACCCACGGTGAATACCGTGAAACGGGTATAGTGGCATCATCCCCGAGCCAAGGGTTCGACCAGCACCCACATCAAGATGAAGCTGAGTAGTCAGTTTACATTCCACGATTGCATTGTGGGAATGTAAACATTGCGAACGCTACCGTGGTCGCTGAAAACTTGTGAGTCGAATTGACACATTTTACCGTCGTAAAACATAAACGTAATGTTTCCACCTGTGATGTTAGCTGCGTGAAGCAACTGCAAAGCAAAAAACGGGATGCAACGGAGTAGTTTACTGCAGGAGGTCGTACGAGGCGATGACAACTGACATTCATCGTGACGTCGCTTACATTGTGACGTAATGTAAAATGGTTCGATTACGAGGGGGCACACTAGAATGGCGCAGTGACGGGATAACGTTATTCAATTGTTACGTCATCAAAAAACTATACCTTTATTGTCTGATAATGTATTTTTTTCCGATTGTTCTAACCGCTAGGCATCTTAGAATGGCCCATCATTAAGGAATCAGCGGGCCATTATCATTTGCAGCGTTTCGTTCATTTCTGATAATTAGAGACCGATTTCATGATAATTCCGCAAATTTTAGCTGTAACACTATGATTTATTCATCATTGTCAGATTTAGTCAGTGTGCACATAATAAACGTGTTGAAGTTTGAAAAGGGAACCATTTTTTCTGGCGATGGTGTAAGTTGAAGGAGTGAAATGATTAACCTTTGACCTAGAGGAACTTTGACCTGGTTTAAATAATGAATTTCTTTCACGAAAAAACAGTGCAAAACGAGTTGAATTAAAATGGGGATAGAGCTGTACTGTGTTTGACGAATTGGGGATGTATACCAATGGTTACATAGCCCCAAATTTAACGTTATATCGACTTCGCTTACGCATCACAGATAACTAAATTTGCAGCTATATAACCACAGGTATACATCCCCAATTAGTCAAACACAGTACAGTTACTAGTATCCCCTAATTATATTGTGCATTAGAGAAAATGTAAGTTTTGAGGTTTGTTGTCATTACTTTTTGAATATCTATCCTCTTATAGCTTACTCGAGGACTTCAGCAGCAAGTGGCAAACAATATGTTGTCCTCACTGGGCCTTGAAGTGTCTATCATGATGGCATCATTAGGTGCATGGTCAATTTCATGGGCTCAAGAAGCAGGTGTCAAAAAACAGGGGATGTGACTCAAGTGCAGTAAAAGATGAGGAGCTGATGCATACCGTCTCGATAGTATTGAAGTATTGTTGAAGACAACAACTAGTGTTAAAACTGATGTAACTTTTGCATCTTCTCTCAAGATGTCAACAATGCCATTCAAACTGTTGAATGTAGGATTTGAATGAATACTGTACATGGCGCAGGAAAGCAGCAGTGTCAAGGTCATTAGGAGGTCTAATGGTTTCTGTCATGATTTATATTGAGGGCAAATGAAAGAGAAAGCTTGTGTGTTTTCCTTATTTATAAATTGAAAAAACTCATAGCCAGCTTGAATAAATTAGATGCCAGTGTTTATCGAAATCTTGAGTAGAATATAAAAAATAATCAAATTGATCGTATGTAGCCAATCATTACCTTTAACACATTGTCACATTGTACACAAAACTTGAAAGACTATTTCTATTTGTTAGTTTATCCTTTATGTTCTGTCATGAGTGAGTGAGTTTAGTTTTAGCCGCACTCAGTAGTATTCCAGCTATATGGCGGCGGTCTGTAAATAATTGAGTCAACAGCGTGAGCATCTATCTACACAATTGGGATAGGGCACCCATGAAGGGCCACCTCCTCGTGGTGGGTGCTGGGTCACGCTAAGCGCCCTTCAACCCCCGTTGTGGACCCGGGGATATATTTGGTCCACCAACCCGTTGGCCGTGGGTTGCGCCCCCTGTGTGTCGGTGGAGGACGGGATTCTGGTGGTTGAGGGCAATAGGATCCTGGAACCGTGTTCCTGTTGCCCAACACACCACTTTGGCCCTTACTTCACCTAGACGGGTGGTAGAACTGGCCCGGTTCTATCAATCGGCTGGTCACGCCAAGCCCTGTGCATGGTGAATCTATTATATGCACATTTGCTTATTTTGGCCTTGGTTATTTTTTATCCTCAATGTTCGAATTATTATGTTAACTTGCCTAGAGTTCTATGCCAGAAGGCGGTGGCTCATGGGCCAATCTGGTGATAATGACCTCCAAATGATGTATGTCTCCAATTTATTGTCATGGGCCGAACCAGCCTGACATTGATTTGGTAGATAAATATAGCTATTTGTGTCGTTGTCTCTGGAGTATAACATCCCTGTATCCCTGGTGTCAGCATCTTGGATATCCGGTGCTCTTTGACACCGTCCTTGTTGACACTCCATGGTGGGTGGGGAGCAGGGTGCTGAATACTTTTCCTTTCATGATGGCATCCCAACAAGCTGGTTCATCTCGATACGAGAAAAAGCGACGACTAGACGAACTTGATCACTCTACTGAAACAAATTCGCCAAACATTGATTCATGGGCTCGTTTCCTAGTAATTGAAGCTTCGGATTTTCTACCAATAAAACTAAATCCATTTGCCATATCCAAAGCTATCCATGGGATATGTGGTGAGGTTAAAAATGTCACCCGGCTCCGTAGTGGTTCACTTCTGGTGGAGTGCGCACGGAAACAGCAATCTCTAAATCTTTTGTCTATCAAAACATTTGCAACTGTGGAGGTTGCTGTGTCCGTGCACAGGACTCTCAATTCTTGCCGTGGCATTATACGAGACAGGGCTCGCTGTCTCTCTGACATGTCCGAGGAGGAGATAGCTGCAGAGCTTGAAGATCAGGCTGTTACAGCGGTGAAGCGTTTTACGATCAAAAAAGAAGGGAAAATAATAAAAAACCAACACCTATCTCTTGACTTTTGCCAGATCAGCTCTTCCCCAGTCGATCAAGGCAGGTTACTTTAACATCGGGGTGGATGTGTATATCCCCAATCCACTCCGGTGTTACAAGTGTCAGCATTTTGGTCATGGGACCTACTCATGCCGTAATTCTGCAGTTTGTCACCGTTGTGGGGACAATCATGATGGTACAGATTGTCAGAATACTTTCAAATGCGCTAACTGTAATGGCCTACATTCTGCTTCATCCAGGTCCTGCCCCGTGTATCAAAGGGAATCACAAATTATGAAGATAAAATGTGAAAAGAATATTCCCTACCTTGATGCGAAAAAAATGTTCAATAATCAGCCTTCAACCCCTCAGAGTATCACGTATTCAGCTGCAGTATCCCGCTCTGTAGCGGTGTCCTCAACTGCATGTTAGACTGACTTGACTTGACCCAAGTCAGAAAAACCTGTTACATCAATAACTTTACTTACTCCACCTACTTCCCGAGTCACCCAGTCTACGTCTGGATTCCAGACAGAATGTCAGCTCTCTACACAGTCACAATCCTCAGCTGGCTGGAGATCAACCAAAGAAGAAGAAAGGAAAAAAACTAAACAGAGACAAATCGCCTAATGTCTCATCACCTTCAGAGGTTCTAACACAAAACTCGTTTGGACCTCTGGATATGGAGGTTACTCCGTACTCACAGGACAGACGGAGGAGCCTACCCAACTCACATTCTCGAGAGAGATCGCCAATTGAGCCACCATGACTCAGTTGGCCAATTTAATTCAATGGAATTGCAGAGGGCTAAAGAATAACTTCAATGAGATACAATTGTTATTACAGGATTTTAAACCTTCAGCATTATGTGTTCAGGAGACATATATAAAAAATACGGACTCATTCAATTTACGACAATACAGTGATTATCACTGCTTCTCTCCGCCAGGAGATAAAGCAACTGGTGGTGCTTCTGTTTTGGTACAGCAGGGCATCATACATAGCCCTGTCCCTCTTAATACCAATCTCCAAGCTGTAGCTGTTCGTCTGACTATGCACATTGCGTTGACGCTGTGCAGTTTATATGTCCCTCCATCTTTTGATATCCGACTGTCGGATCTGCAAAATCTGTATGATCAGCTGCCAAAGCCATGTCTCATCATGGGCGATCTGAACGGACACAACCCGCTTTGGGGTAGTGTCCATACTAATACTAAAGGTAAAATTATTGAGGAATTCATTGCCGATAATAATTTATGTATTTTGAATGATGATTCAGCCACTTATCTTCATCCAGCTACGGGAACTTATTCTTCCCTTGATCTGTCTCTCGCTGACTCAAACTTGTATAATGACTTTGAATGGATGGTCCATGATGACCTATGTGGGAGTGACCACTTCCCTACCATTCTCAAAACAATCAGCCCTGGTGATGATCCACCTTTATCAAGGAGAAATTTCGCCAGGGCTGATTGGTCATTATATGAGAAACTGTGTGTTGAACACTTGAAGCATGATCTTTTTTAGGAACAGTAAAGATCCTATACAGACTTTTTCGGATATACTAAATCACATTGCTGACAAAACAATTCCTAAGTCCTCTGCAATTCCGCATATTCGTAAACCATGGTTTAATAATGAATGCAAACAGGCCAGAAAATGTAGGAAAAAGGCAGAAAAATATTTTCGCAAACACCCTACTGTCCATAATCTAGACAAGGTCAAAATTACTAATGCTAAGGCTAGACGTTCTTTTAAACAAAATAAGCGTCAGTCTTGGCGAAATTATGTTTCTAAAATAAATTCACGTACACCTATGTCAAAAGTGTGGAACATGATCCAAAGAATAAAGGGCAAAGGTTCCAAATCTACCGTTCATCATTTGAAGGACGGTGATAATTTATTGACTAATAAAACTGACATTGCAAATAAACTTGGTGAAACTCTTGCCAAGCATTCATCTTCATCTAATTATGTCCCTGAGTTTCAAACGTATCAGAAACAACAGGAGAAGAAAAGAATAAATTTTATCTCAGACAACGGTGAAGATTATAACGAACTATTTTCGTTACATGAGCTCCATACCGCCCTTGAGCAAGCTCACGATACAGCAACAGGAGCTGATAATATTCACTATCAGCTCTTGAAGCATTTGCCCGAATCATGTTTACAAATCCTTTTAGACATTTTTGATCAAATATGGACTTCAGGGAATTTCCCAACTTCGTGGCGTGATGCCATTGTTGTTCCTATTCCAAAGCCTGGCCGGGATCATACTGATCCGTCGAATTACAGACCAATCTCTTTAACGAGTTGTGTCTGTAAAACCATGGAACGAATAGTCAATAATAGATTGACATGGTATCTTGAAACCAATAACCTTATAACCAACATTCAATGTGGTTTCAGGAAAAATCGTAGTACCATTGATCATTTGGTACGTTTAGAATCCTTTGTTAAAAATGCTATAGTAAATAAACAACATGCAGTATCAATTTTCTTTGATCTTGAGAAAGCTTATGATACAACCTGGAAGCATGGCATTTTGAAGGATTTACATGATTTTGGTTTGAGAGGCCGTTTGCCTCTTTTTATATCACAGTTTTTAAAAGACAGGCAATTTCAAGTCCGAGTGGGTTCAACCCTGTCTGACCATTACAATCAGGATCAGGGTGTCCCGCAAGGCAGTATTTTGTCTGTCACATTGTTTAGTATCAAGATAAACAGTTTATCCAAGGTTTTAAACGATTCAATTGATGGATCACTTTTTGTGGATGATTTTAATATTTCTTGTCGTGGTAAAAATATGCATACTATTGAACGGCAATTGCAGTTGTGTTTAAATAAAATAAATAAATGGTGTCTTGAAAACGGCTTTAAATTTTCCAAGTCCAAAACTAATTGTCTACACTTTTGTAGAAAATATAAGCCTCATATAAGGACCCAGAACTATCTTTAAATGGCACTCCTATCAAAGTTGTCAAGGAGGCCAAGTTCTTGGGTCTAATTTTCGACTCTCATTTAACCTTTTTGCCGCATATTAAATCACTTAAAGCTAAATGCCTGAAGGCCCTTGATTTGTTGAAAGTTGTTTCCAACTCAAAGTGGGGAGGGGATCAAACTACCCTCCTCCACCTATATCGTTCATTGGTCCGCTCGAAACTTGATTATGGTTCCATCGTATATGGTGGAGCCTGCAACAGCAACCTAAAACTACTTGATTCTGTCCACCACCAAGGCCTAAGACTTTGTCTTGGGTCTTTTAGAACCTCTCCAATTGATAGTCTCTATGTTGAGGCTGATGAGCCATCACTTACCCAACGTCGTATCAAACTATCTTTGCAGTATATAACAAAACTCTATTCTAACGAGTCTAATCCTGCATTTAACTGTGTTTTCAATCCTTCTTATGAGCAGTTGTACAACAAAAAGCCTTCTCTTGTTCCGCCTCTTGGGCACAGAATTAAACCATTCCTTTCTGCTGCTGGCATTGAGCTGGATAATATATCTCCTTCTCGTCTTCTTTCTTCTCCTCCTTGGCAATTGGTGAGGCCAGAAGTTGACTTAACATTAACCACATTTAAAAATCCGAAACTAATGATTTACAGTATAAACAAGAATTTAGTCAATTAAGAAATAAATATAATACCTATAAATCCTTATATACAGATGGATCCAAGGATGGTGGCGCGGTTGCTTGTGCCACTGTCATTGGGTCCAAAACAATATCTTCCAGACTACCCAATGACAGTTCAATTTTCACAGCAGAAGCAAACGCAATACTAACAGCTCTTAAATATATTAATAAACACCGTAAATATAAACAATATATCATTTTTTCAGATTCTCTTTCGTGTCTTCAGGCTATTAAAAATCTTTCTTGCAAACATCCACTTTTATTAGAAATTATTGAATTGTACAATGAACTTGCTACTGGCCAATGCGACATCATCTTTTGTTGGTTACCCAGCCACGTTGGCATTTCTGGGAACACAATGGCTGATCTTGCTGCCAAGGCAGCACTCAACAAATCTGTGACACCACTTCTGATCCCATACTCTGATTATAAAGCCAGCATTAGAACATACATCCGCGATCTGATGCAAAAGAAGTGGGATGCCCAAGTAGGTATCAATAAATTACATGCAATCAAACCAACTATTGGTTACACCTACTTGGGTTGTCAGTCCAGATTTGAAGAGGTCATCATACGACGATGTCGTATTGGCCACACAAGATATACTCATGAGTACCTATTGAAAGGTGAGGATCCTCCGTTTTGTATCCCTTGTGATGAAAGAATCACGGTCAAGCATGTCCTGCTTGACTGTGTTGAATATTCCATCACAAGGGATAAGTATTTTAATGTCAAAACATTGAAGGATCTTTTTATAATGTTAATTATCATTTAATTATTGAATTTTTAAAAGAATTAGATTTGTTAACTGATTTGTAAATAGATAAATATTTTATTCTTGGTAATTTAAATTAGTCACTGAGATTGTTAGTGGCTGTACCCTCAAAGGGGTTGAAGTAGCGTAAAATTATTGTCCTCCTGAGAGGGTACGTAAGTCCCAAAACTTTCAGTCAAAAATATACCAGGACATTTTAAAAGTAGTATTTTTGTTATTTTAACTGTTGGCTAAATTTTCCTACAATCGCCAGCGGCTGAAGGGATGGTGTAAATCCAGCTAGGATCCATGCAGGTAGCAAAGTAATGTAAGTCCCCATGGCTCCTAGCATGGTGATCTACCTTCAGTTGTTGGCGATCTATAGCCTGTTTTTATCTTGTATTGTCCTAATAGTGCTATTAGTTTTAACCTTCCACACTAGTTTTAAATCTAATTGTGATATTCTAGTTGTTTTACTGTCCTTCGTTGACAGGGTTTTATATATAATATGTCTGTATTACAAATTTAGAACTAGTTTTAGTCACGATATGGCTGAAATATTGCCGATGTGACTTTAAATCTTAACTCACTCACTCACTCACATTAGCTATTGTTTTCAAGCAGTGCTTCAGAATGGTCAGCGTTTGGTCTCTTTCAGGACTGCTCTACGTTACAGTCAAGGGTTAGTTGAAGGTTAAGGTTTGTGTTATCTATCTCAGTGCTTTTAACAGATTCATCCCGTGGAAACTGAGGAAATTCCATTATATTTTCAAGAGTTTTGATTGTCATGGTGTCAGTGACTCAATATGTATGGTAGTGTAATCTTTGTAAAACAGAGTTGTCATTGTATTGACATCACTGAATGTGTAACTACTTTGTTTCGATCCGTTTGTAATCTAGTGTTGCCGGGAAACTTCTAGAAAGCTATGGGCAAATCCAGGATGGATGTCACTCTTCAAACAACACGAGGCGTAGTGACATACAAAAAAATGGGTGTTTTTATTCTCGCAGTACAACTATCAGTCCATCCTGGATTCCGCGATTCCGCGGTTGTAGAAATTACCTTTTGATGCAGAAAATCATCTGTTCCACGGAAAATGCATTTTCATGCAGAATACCTGCTGAATTTGCCATATTTGTGCCCCGGAATTTACATATTTTGAAAGTTGAATCAAGATTGACTATCAACCGAAACGATAAGTCAGGGTAAATGACCAAACTATAATTGGTTTCACAAAAACGAACTGCGACATTTGTTACAATGATATTTTAAAAATATTCACGATTAAAGATGATTTATTCCTAAGGTAATAATTTTCCTTATCCTGATTCCTGCTTAATGCTGTCTCCTTCTCTTTGCGATCACTTGAAATCCCTTGAAGTTCACTTCTAAAACGCGGACGTATAATCATCACTCACCCACGAGTAGTCCTCCTTGCCTCCTTTGGCGCCCTTTTCGGTCACATGACCATGCCATGTTTGTCACTCTCTCCTTCTTCGCCCTTGAGGACGGTTGTGAGAGCACCTGGGTCCCTATATGGAACATATCCTTTTCTATTTTGGACCTTTTACATCTAAATGGCAGCTGTATACGGTTTTTGGATTGTACATTATCAATTGTTTTGATATTTAGTCTAATTCATACGTTGTGTGTGCCATGTTTTTCATCTGGTTTACAATTGATGAAAACTTCTACTCATTGTAGCTACCGGCTGTCTGTGGCTGACCCGCATATATTATGTCCTGATTGCACTACGACATGTTTTTCCAGCTTTCGCTGTAAACATTGTCAGAAACTAACTACTTTTGAATTTAATAACTACCTTTTTTCTCTTCATAGACGTGCAAAGGACTGGGTAAGAAGGTATTCACAAGTCATGTCTGGTAAATCGAGTGATTGCGCTGATAACATAGGTTCATAATTCCAGTAATTGCCGAGCGTTTTATGAGGG